TTTTTTTTATATCACTTCAACAACATCAACTGTCTCTGCTACAAAAATAATTAGGACCCTTGTTATTCCTGACCCCAAGGAGCTCATGTCCTTGTAAATGCCCCCCAATGGGTGGTAGGGACCATGGTAGAGAGGCATGCATGGGAACCAGAGGCAGGGCACACTGTGTTGGGGGAATGTGTGGTCAACACTGTTTATTTACCTTCATCTCTAGCACTCATGTTATCCTTCCTCAGCCTCTGTCCCTCACTGACCAGATTGTTTCCCTCTTTGGCTAGTCAGTTGCAGGGCTGGGACATATTATGATGGAGCACAAGAACGCTGCATTTTATGTCCAAATGGAACCTTCCAAAATGAGGAAGGACAGATCACTTGTCAACCATGCCCAAGACCAGAAAATCTTGGGTCCTTAAAGACCCCAGAAGCTTGGAATGTGTCTGAATGTGGAGGTAAGGATGCTGTCTGTCTCTTCTTATTCCTCCAGTCTCCTTTCTTCCTCTGCTCCCACAATTTAAAAAAAAAGGGGGGGGTTTGTGTGTGTGTGATACTGAATATTAAATCTAGGGATACTCTACCACTAAGCTAGATACTTAGTCTAGATAATGTCATTATCTAGACTAAGGCACAGTGGCATCTCAAGGATTTTAGATGATGAACACTGGACCTTAGGATTCCTATGAGTAAGGACTATGTTGGGTTGGTTTGGTTCTCCAGTGCTTGGGTCAGAACCTGATGCTGTGCCAATGCTCACATGAGCAAGTGAATGAAGATGGCATAGAATACACTGGTAGAAAAGTGTCAATGTTGCAATTGTTTGCTTTATTCACGCTAAATACATGTACCTGAGACCCAAGTAGTTCCAGTTCATAAGGAATGTTTGAAAGTGTTCAAGTGGAGAGGACTTTATTCCAGCTTTGATCTCAAATTCAAGGCTTTTTTAAAAAAAAATTTGTTGTTATTGATGTACTTTTATTTTATTTCTGTATTTATATGCTGTGCTGTGAGTCTAACCCATTGCCTCACACAAGCTAGGCAAGGGCTAAGCTACAACCCCAGCACTCAGAGTTTTTTTATTTAAAAAAAAATATATCTTTCTGGTTGTTTTGTTAAAACTGGAAGCTCCTTTCTGAAAAGTTTTAAGTCATTTCTTACAAAATGTTAACTTTGAAGCCAACCTTGGTTAGGTTCTGTGATCTACTTTCCCATTTATTTTATTATTAAACATCTTCCTTTTGTTAAATGGGAGGAGGGCTGGCTATATGGACCTGTGCAGGCTCCAGTGGAAGATGTGATCTGGATGGTGGTTTCTAACTGATAGACCCAGCAGAGTGCAGGGGCCCTGTAATGACTTGTGGTTCTCCATCCAGTTACAGCATTAGTTCTCATCAAACTCAACTACAGGGATGTTTCTTTTCTTTTTTTCTTTTCCTTCTTTCTTTCTTTTGATACTGGGGATTTAATTCAGGGGCACTCAACCACTGAGCCACATCCCCAACCCTAGTTTGTATTTTATTTGAGACAGGGTCTCACAGAGTTGCCTAGTGCCTCATTGTTGCAGAGGCTGGATTTGAACTCGTGATCCTCCTATCTCAGCTTCCTGAGGTGCTGGGATTTTAAACGTGTGCCACCACTCCTCGCTACAGGGATGTTTCTGAGTTAAA